CTCAGACCCTGTGAAGACCCTCAGGTGGGTTCCGGCTCCAGCTGTTGCGCCCACTCAGACCCTGTGAAGACCCTCAGGCGGGATTCCGGCTCCAGCTGTTGCGCCCACTCAGACCCTGTGAAGACCCTCAGGTGGGTTCCGGCACCAGCTGTCGGGCCCACTCAGACCCTGTGAAGACCCTCAGGCGGGTTCCGGCACTAGCTGTCGCGCCCCCTCAGGTCCTGTGAAGACCCTCAGGCGGGTTCCGGCTCCGGCAGTGGCCCCCCCTCAGGTCCTGTGAAGACCCTCAGGCGGGGTTCCGGCTCCAGCAATCGCGCCCACTTGGCTGTGTCAATGACCCGTGGCTTCCTGGCTGTCTGGGGAGCTAGCGCTTTCACACTTAAAGAGCATATTTCTATAAATAGTTATACATTTTGTTTGTTTTGAGACAGGGTCTCGCTCGGTTGCCTAGGCTGTAGTGCAGTGGTGTGATCACAGCAACCTCGATCTCCTGGGCTCAAGTGATCCTGCCTCAGCCTCCCAAGTAGCTGATACTACAGGCACCTGCTACCATGCCAGCTAATTTTTTTTTTTTTTTTTGAGGAGGAGTCTCACTCCGTCACCAAGACTGGAATGCAGTGGCGCAGTCTCAGCTCACTGCAACCTCCGCCTCCCAGGCTCAAGGGATCCTCCCCACTCAGCCTCCCAAGTAGCACAGGCACTGAGACCACAGGCACTCACCAGCACACCTGGCTAATTTAGTAATTCTTTTCTTTTCTTTCTTTTTTTTTTTTTTTTTTTTTGAGACAGAGTCTCTCTCTGTTGCCCAGACTGGAGTGTGGTGGCGTGATCTTGGCTTACTGCAACCTCTGCCTCCCAGGTTCAAGTGATTCTTGTGCCTCAGCCTCCTGAGTAACTGGGACTACAGGTGCCTGCCATCATGCCCGGCTAATTTTTTATACTTTTAGTAGACATGAGGTTTCACCGTGTTAGCCAGGCTGGTCTCAAACTTCTGACCTCAGGTGATCCACCTGCCTCGGCCTTCCAAAGTGCTGGGATTACAGGTGTGAGCCACCGCTCCCGGCCTAATAATTTTTTCTGTAGAGACGGGGTCGAGCCATTTGCCCAGGCTGGTCTCGAACCCCTGGGCTCAAGCTATCCTTTTGCCTCAGCCTCCCAAAGTGCTGGGATTACAGGTGTGAGCTACCGCACCTGGCTGCAAGTCTTTAATTTTGCCAAAATCAAACTCGACTCCTTTTTAAAAATCGTTATTATTTTATTTTTGAAATGGAGTTTTGCTCTTTTGCCTAGGCTGGAGTGAATGGGGCATGATTTTGGTTCACTGCAACTTCTGCCCCCTGGGTTGTTCAAGTGATTCTGCTGCCTCAGCCTCCCAAGTAGCTTGGATTACAGGCACGCACCACCATGCCTGGCTAATTTTTGTATTTTTAGTAGAGACGGGGTTTCACCATGTTGGCCAGGATGGTCTCAAACTCCTGACCTCAGGTGATCCACCTGCCTCGGCCTTCCAAAGTGCTGGGATTGCAGGCGTGAGCCGCCGCACCCGGCATCCACTGCTTTTGAAGTTTTGGACAGAAAATTCTTCTTCCCCTTTGTCACATGGATATCCTGGCATCTTCTGTGAACTGGTTCGTTTTGCCTCTCATGACGTCTAGTACTTCTGGGGCCGGTTCAGCGTTGTGGGATTAGTGGGGGTCCCTATTGTTTCCCCACACATTTTCCCAGCACCACTCTCACCACCTTCTCAGGTAACGGGGTGCCCCCGGCTGGGGCCGCGGCATCCCCACAGGTGTGAGGAACATCTTACCGCACGTGCTGCTGTGTCAGCCTCTTGGGAAATCAACTGTTTTGTTACTTTTTTTAAAAGAAGAGACAGCCCTTCCTGAATGGCATGGAAAGCCTCCTGCGGGGCCTGACTGGGCATGGGCGGACAGGGCCAGCTGTGGGGGTGGACAGAAGGGGAGCGAGTGCCACAAAGACATGCTTGTCTGGAGACAGATGGGCCTTGTTGGTGGAGATATTTGCTTGTGGCTACTGGCGTTCCCATTGGCAGCTCAGGCCACCCACCCTGAGGTCTGAGGTTCAAAGCCCCGCCCTCCCTCCTCACCCAGTGTGGACTCTCCCACACCCATAGCCAGACCCTTGGCAACCTGGGTCCCACCGGGGCCAGCACCAGCAGACCTTCCATCTGTGGACCTGCCTGATGGGGAGGTGGGTAGGGAGGCTGGGTAGGGGGTGAGTGGTTAAAGACACGTTGGAACTAAGAGAGATTGCATGTTAACCCCGGCCCCTGCCCCAAACTTGGGCCTCGAGCAGGTGACCTGGTCTGTCTATGGGTCATTCTTATCTACGCCTGCCTCACGGGGCTGCCGCTGGGGTCTCTGGGGCTGCCGCTGGGGTCTCCGGAGGCCACGGGCAGCACTCAAAACACCACAGACCCCCAACAGTGATGCCCTCAGGGCAGGAAGGGGGGTAATCCTCACCCCTGGGGCGGGTGGCCAGAGGGAACACAGAGAGCCAGCCCACCCGATGCCAGGTGACCCTGTACCCATCACCAGGCCAGTGGGGTCGGTGGTCCCATCTGCTCCTGAGGGGGGTCTCAGGAGGTGGCAGGAAGCCCCTTGGAAGAAACGGGGGTAATTCTGGAAGCCCAGAAGTCTGAGCAGACAACTGGGGCCAGGGTGCTTCAGACTCAGGGCTCCTGGGGTGGGGGCCTGCTTGGGGCCTAGGGCTGGGATCTGGGGGTGGAGTCTGGGGGTCTGGCTTCCTGGGGCCTCCTCAGCTGTCCAGCAGGCAGAGTGGGGCATACCAGGTCGGGGGGGCTCTAAATGGGGCTGGGGGATGTGGGCAGGGAGGGGACTGCGGAAGCAGGTGTAGCTCTGGGACCCTCAGGAGCTGAGCAGCCCGGCCTGGAGGCTGCATATGAAGCCCAGACCATCCTGGTGAAGGCAGGGCCCTGTTGCTGGGGGTGGTCGGGGAGTGGGCAGCCTCCCTCACTTCCAAGGCCTGGCATCCCGGGGCCCACAGAAGCCCCTTTAGGAGCAGATGTAGCCCCGTGCCTGTCCCAGTCCCGAGGTGGGGGCTCGGCAGGCAGCAGGAGCTGAGGGTTGCAGGGAGGAGGGCCAGCGCCCCCATCCCTCCCCTTTTCCTCTTGGGCCTGTCTCTCTCCCCACAGGGTCCATCTGACAGGGTCTGGGGGCCTCTTCTGGGGGCCTGGAGGAGCCGTGGTGGCCATCAAGCCCGGGTCGTGGCTCAGAGGGCACCAGACACTCCCCGCTGTCCCAACCGGACACTGTGGTTATGACTTGGCCCAGTGTGGCCTGAGCTGTGAGTCAGGGCTTCTGTGGCCTGGTATCCAGGCCTGGCTGGGTGGTGGACCAGGCAAGGGACACACACCCCCCAGCCCAGCCCCACAGTCGCCCCTGCCCAGGCCAAGACCCCAGGACTGCGTTCACGGATGCTCCACACCAGGGTTGGGTGCACGGCTGCTATGGGGACACATAGGTTATGGGTTGCCTCCTGCCACCAATCCAGCGCGAGGGCACCCCTGGCGGCCACCCACAGCAGCACATGGAGCGGCCAGCAGAGGGCACCAAAGGCCCCTCCAAGGGTGTGGCTCAGGTGGACGCCAGATGGGCGGTCAGGTGCCCCTCCCAGGCAGGGTGCTGAGTGTGGCCCGCTCCCCCTTCTCGGGAGCCTCCGTCAGCCTGGGCTAAGATCTCCAAATCCAGTTTCGGCCTTGCCCTCTGACTCATGCCCCTCCCGGGGCCTGCCGAACATCTGGCCGAGCTGGCTCTGTCCCCACCACTCCTACTAGGGTTGTGCCCAGTGAAAGCTGGGCTTGGGTGACAGGCTTTGGGCCTTTTGGTCACCGGGCTTGGGAAGGCCACAGGAAGAGAAGTGGGCAGGGTCCCCTCTGGGCTCAGGGGCCGAGCAGCCTGGCTGATGGCCCGCCCTCTGCCCTGCAGTGCTTAGAAAAGGTACAGTTTTCAGGGACTCCAGGACCCACTCCCACTCCCAGGGAACTGAGACACACGGCTCCTAGGAGACTTAACTGGTTTAATTGTTTCGCCCTGGTGCCTGGGCCACCTCTTATCTCTTGGGTGAGACTCAAGTCCGGGCACCAAGACACACCAGCACCCCCAACACCATGTGGAGATCATTGGCCTGAAACTTGGCCAGAGAAAGCTCCACTCCTGGGCCTGTGAGGGTGGGCGCTGGGGGTGTCTGAAGCCTGCACGGTGTCCCCTGCATCCTTGGCCCTTGCAGGTGAAGTGTGTGTCATTCCCCCACTTCCCCCCAATGGCAGCCACTGCCTCCTGCTGGAGCCCCTCCCAGGCCCCCCTCAGGGAGCAGAACCCTGCATGTGTGCAGGGCTCAGCCCAGCCAGCCTGGAGCTCCAGCCCACCCTGGGGTGTGGATGGATGTAGAAGTGGGTGGGGATGGGGGAGCATCACGGGGGCCAGGACCCCCAGGTGCACAGGGGAGGCCAGAGAAAGAGGCTCCAGCCCCAGGGAGTTCTGTGCTCTCAGGGGAAGGTGGACAAGGGGCTGGCACCACCAGGGGGCAGGTTTGGCTTAGATTGGTCTTGGTATGGGCTGGGGCCTTGGGTACTGCTGGTCCTAAGGATGGGCCTTGTGCCTCCAGACAGAGGCAGGGACCCCTAGCCAGCACCGCGCCCCCTCCGCGTCCTTGGTACAAAATACATACACATATAAAAATAATACTCCATGCATTGGGCGTGGGCTTCCCCTCCGCAGGCCCCCGCCGGCGGCAGCCGGGCCTAGCTGTCCTCCCCCCTTCTCTGATTCATGGAATGAAACTTGTTCATGAGTTCTTCCAGCTCTGACCCACTTTGCTGCTTCTAGGGAGAAATGGGGGCAGCCTCAGCCAGGGGTCCCACCGGTCCGGGTGCCGGCCTCCCCCTTGCTCTGCGACCCCAGAAACCGGCGGGGGCAGGAAGGGCGCAGGGGCAGGAGGGGCGGGGGGGGGCAGGAGGGGCGGGGCGCAGGAGCGCAGGCGGGCTCACCTCCAGGAAGGCCTTCTGCACGGTGAGCTGGCTGTACACGCGAACGCCCTCCTCCCCGCACACCTTCTTCAGCTCCTCCTTGTTGAGAGAGAAGAGCTGCGGCCCAGTCAGGATTCCCAGGTTCTCCACGATCCTGGGGGCGGGCGGGAGGGCGTCAGGGCCGCACCGTGGGCGAGGCTGCCTGGGCCCCGCCGCGACCGCTGCGCACCTTGGGCCGCGCCTCCCACCCCCCACCCGGATCCCTCGCTCATCCCCCGCTCACCGAGCGCTGAAGGCTTTGGCTTCCAGCCAGGCGCGGACCTCGTCGGGACCCGACTCGTAGGTGAGCGGCTGGCTCACGGGCTGGCTGCGCTCCACGCGGAAGTGCCGCTGTGGCTGCGCCCTGATGTTGCTGATTTTCCGGATGAGCTCGTCGTTGACCTCGTCCATGTGCTGCATGAGCTCTGAGGGGGGGCGCAACTCAGGCCCGCCGCTGCCTTGCCCCTGCCCCCGCCCCCGGCCCAAGGACCTCCCCACCCTTCCTCCCCCAGGTGGCCCTGGACCCGGCACCTCCGCCTCGAAGCAGCAGCTCTCACCATCTTTGTTCCCCGGGAAGCTTGGGGGCAACTTGTGGGTCGGGCTGGCGGGGCCCCAGTACTTCTGACCGACCTGCGGGGGCGGGAGGCGATCAGGCTCCCCATGCCCTGCCCCCGCCTCCCAGCACCTGCCCAGGACCCCACCCCTCCCCTGGCCTGTGGACCAGCCCTTCCCTTCTGCCCAGGGAGCCCTGCACCTGCCCCAGCCTCTCCAGCTGCGGGGCTGGCCTTGGGGCGGGGCTGGGCGCAGGCGGTGCTGCTCCAGGAGGCTCGGGGGCTGCGACCCCAGGGACCCCCGCGGGCTCACCTGCTCGAAGGGGGCGCCGGCGTCCTCAGGCCGCGCCTCGCCCAGGATGTTGCAGGGCACGTACCCCGCCTGGCCGCTGCGGCTGCGCAGCTTCCACCACTGCCGGCCGTCCTCCAGCACCTGTGGGGCGCGCCGTCAGCCCCTCCCCACATCCAGGCTCTGCGGGGCTGGGACCACCCGCTGGTTCCGCTTTACAGAGGTCGGGGCGCGCCCTAGAGTCTCCCGGAGCCCCGCTTCGCTCCATCCTCTCCGCAGCCCTGTTTCCACCCCTCCATCCCTTGCTGGGCTACTCCTCCCCCACCCTGCCGCAGGGAGTCTGGGAGACCCTTCTTTTTTCTCTGAGACAGGGTTTCACTGTGCCGCCCAGGCTGGAGTGCAGTGGTGCAATCACTCCCCACTGCAGCCTCGACCTCCTGGGTTCAGGTGATCCTCCCACCTCAGCCTCCCGAGTAGCTGGCACCACAGGCGCACACCACTGCATCCAGCTAATTTTTATATTTTTTGTAGAGATGGGGTTTCGAGGTGTTGCCCAGGCTTGTCTCAAATTCGTGGGCTAAAGGGATCCTCCCGCCTTGGCCTCCCAGTGCTGCAGTTACAGGCATGAACCGCCTAACCAGGCTGTGGATGTGGCCCACTCCCCCCAGCCTGCTCCACTTTCTGTCCCCCAGTGGGTGGCCTGGATTCCGGCTGGCAGATGCAGCCAGTGCAGACGTGGGGGCTCCTGGGTGGGTGTGAATGACAGGCCCCTGCTGGGTCCACATGGTGCAGACGCTCCCCCCAGCCTGGCACAGGGGTCCCTGCATGTCTTTGGAGATCCCCAAGATGGGGAGGCCCCTCCAACAGGCTGCGGATCCTGATCAGAGCCCAGGGGCGGGGACGCTGGAGAAAGGGGCACGCAGCTGTGCCCTGTCCTGGCATCACCCAGCCTGGTCCTAGACTGCTCCCCACCTCCCCTGATAGCCCCTCCCTTGAAGCCCTGCCCCGTTTCCCCCTCTTGGACCCCCTCGTCCAGCCCCCTCACCTCTAGGACCTCATCCTTGAGCACTGATAGCTCGTTGGCATTTCGGGCTGTGAAGTCGTACAGGATCTTGACGTACTTGGCCATGGCTGGTGTTGGCTGGTAGCCCCTATGAGGAACAGGAGGGGCTGAGGCCCAGGCTGGTGGGGGTCTTCTCTGAGACCTGGGCAGCGGCTGGGGGTCAGCAACTTCCCAGGTGCACGGCTGGCTGCCTCTTTTCTGCTCTGGAGGTCACCGTGGAGAGAGGCTGCAGGCAGCGTCAGCCGGGAATGGAAACTGTGACAGCCCCAGAGCTTTGGGGCCCTGCGTGGAGGCGGGGCAGGCAGGAGGTGGGCGTGGCACAGGGGCCTGTGGCACAGCAAGGCTGGCCCATTCCAGGCCACCTCAGGGGTCTCTAGTCCAGCACCCCAGGGGAACCAGAGCCAGGGCGTTCCTGGGAAATGCCAGGGTCACAGCTCCCCCCAGCTGGCCAATGAGGGCCAGCATGTCTTCAGAGCCACGGCCCCTCTGAGGACTGAACACAGCCCAAATGGTCCAGTGGAGGATGGGTCTCCAGCTCCTCTCGGTGGGGTGGGACCTGCACCTCAAAAGCGTGTGGGGGGCCGGGCGCGGTGGCTCAAGCCTGTAATCCCAGCACTTTGGGAGGCCGAGACGGGCGGATCACGAGATCAGGAGATCGAGACCATCCTGGCTAACACGGTGAAACCCCGTCTCTACTAAAAAGTACAAAAAAACTAGCTGGGCGAGGTGGTGGGCGCCTGTAGTCCCAGCTACTCGGGAGGCTGAGGCAGGAGAATGGCTTAAACCCGGGAGGCGGAGCTTGCAGTGAGCTGACATCCGGCCACTGCACTCCAGCCTGGGCGACACGGCCAGACTCCATCTCAAAAAAAAAAAAAAAAAAAAAAGCGTGTGGGGGCTGGCTCTGGCTGAGGGGTCCTGGCTTTGGCATGTAGCAGACCTGTGGCTGTCACCTGGCCAGGCCATCCGTCCGGGTCAGTGTGGCCCTGGTCATCAGGGCAGCTCCCGTGTCCAGGCGCTCAGGGAAATGAAGGGGCCATGGACTGTCGGACTATGGGAGCCAGGCTGACATTGTGGGCAAGGGAGGCCATGCTTGCTTAGAAGATGGATTTCTGGCCCCCCCTTCCCCCCAAAATTGAATCCTGGGGTTTGGCAGGGTCAGTGGCTTCCCATACAGATCCTGGACCAGGAATGGGAACAGAAGGGAAGAGGGGAGGCAAGGAAAGACAGGACTCCCGGTAGTGCCGTGGGCTTGTTCTTTGTCCTCTGTGGAAACGGTCGGGGCTGGGGGTGGAGGGAGGGCAGAGGCTTCACTAGCCCAGGACCCCAGACTCCTCTTGTGGCTCTACCAGAGGTTGGGCCTGAAGCAGTCCCAACAGGGTGACAGTGTTTGGTGAAACAACTCAAGTTCAGTGGTTTAGTAAGTTTCTAACCTTGGTTCTAAAACATACATGTGGATGCACAGACAGAGTTGATATATTAAGGTAGAGAATGTGTGCATGACTTTTTAAATGTTTCTTTTAATTATATATCATACAGTTAAAACCACTTCAAATCTGGAAAAGTGGTGTTTTAAACCACTTGATCAATGCACTTGCTACCACCTGGTGGCAGCATACCCATATGTTTTTAGAGCCTGTAGGTTCTGAATGGTTTCACTTTCATGCTCCCTCACTTTGAGGGGGGCTTACCTGTGAGTATGTGGGGAGCTGACTGGTGGTTGGGCATCCCCCGGGGGGGGTGGGCTCTGAAGCGGGGCTGTGCTTCTGGGAGTTTCGTACGGACTGTCGGCTCACTGGACTCACCTGTGGTGAAGGTGGGTGGCCTGAGCTAGACATGGGGCAGGGCTGGGTAAGGAGGGCAGGGGCAGGCTGGGTCCCAGAACAAGGGGGCATAAGACAGGGGCTCGGCTAACATGCTGTGACTGACGCACCACTGAGGGTGACGGAGCCTGAAGCCTGGTGATGCCGGCACGGGCTGCCTCTCCTGGCGGGGCTGGGGGCAGCTGAGCTGCAGCTGAAGGGGCGGTGGGTGGAGATGGGCTGGGGAGGGGAGCTCTGGGGAGGGGTGGGTGTCGGGGCTGGGGAGGGGAGCTCTGGGGAGGGGTGGTGTTGGGGCTGGGGAGGGGATGGGGGCTGCTGGTGCTCTCACCTCGATGGGGGCAGACGCCAGCCCCTCCACCTCCCAGGGGGCCTCCTGCAGCACATCCACGGGGGGCTCCCAGCCACTGTGGAACTTGGGCACGTACAGGGGCACCTGCGGCTCCCGCGGCCACTCGGAGCTGGGGTGGGAGGTCCTGAGTCAGCCCTGCCCCTCGAGAACTGGCCCACCCAGGACCCCCATGCTGGCCCCTGTGCAGTGCTGGCCCCCATGCAGCTCCGGCACCACTCAGCCCTGCCATACCGGGGCCGCATCCAGCTCTCTCCCAGCGACTCCCACAGCGACATCTCCTTAGGGACCAGGTGGCCGCGCAGGAAGTCCACGGCATCTCGAGAGAGCAGTGGGCAGGAGACGGAGCGTGCGATGTCTGGGCCACCACAGGTGTTGACGATCTGGAGCACAGCGAGGTTCAGAAGGGACTGAGGCCCACAGACCCCGGTCCAGCACCCCCGTGGCTCCACAGGCTGGCCCTCGGGAAGGGACTTTGGACCCCAGGGAGTGTGGCCACACAGTGTGAACCGGGCTGCCCAAAACGGGCACCTGCTGCCCCGACCCCGACCCCGGGGAGATAGATGCTCCAGAGGCCTCTGGGCTCCCACCCCGCACGCCCCTGCTGCCCGGCCCCAGGCACCAGGTCCAGAGGCCCGAAGAGGAAGTGCACGAGCTCCGCGGCGCTGGGGTTCTGGATGTGCTTCTGCAGCTTTGCCTGGGGGCAGGAACCAGTGAGCAGGGGCCGGGGCAGGGCCTCCACCCGCCCCTCACACAGACGCTGGGCCAGGGCTGGGGCCGCGGGACTCACCAGCAAGTTAATCGCCAGCTTGATTTTCTGGAAGCAGTCGACGAACTCGCCCTCAGAGGGGGGCCGTGCCCGCAGCGTGAGGACGCCCTCTGGCGTGGGAGGCATCGTGTGAGCCGGGCTGGCCCTGGTCTCCCCAGCCCCTGCGCCTTGTGTCCCATATGCAGCCCATCTGTGTGGGCCAGACCTTCCCCAGCGCCATGAGTGGCCCCGTCCCTGGCCCCTGCACCTGCTGGCCCCTTCTTGCCCTTCTTCTTCCCCTTCTTCCGCTGGTTCAGCTGCTTGAAAGCCTCAGCCGCCTTCTGTAGCCGAGCCACAAACCACTCAATGTCGTCCAGGGCGCAGTTGAGGATTTGCTGGGGTCAGAGGGGGTCAGGGGTCAGCCTCAGACACTCCCCGCTGCCCCGCCCTGCTGCAGGGACGGCCCCAAACCTGTGAAGGGGCAGCCACAGGCTGGGGACTGGCCGGAGGGGTGGTAAGGACCAGTGCCCACTGCTGGGGGCCTGGAAGGGAGGGGCCACCTGCCATGCCCAGGCACCCACCGTCTCCTTCTCTATCTTCTGAGCCAGCACAGCCCGCGGCTCCTCCTCCTGTGACTCCTGACGGCGGAAACCTGATGGGGGACATGGTGGCTGCTCACCAAGCCCCTCACAACAAGCCCTGTGGAGCCCCTGCCAGCCCCTGAGCCTACCTGGCTCGCTGAGTGGCACCTGCGGGCCCACGCGATTCTTGGCCTGCGGGGAGTCCCCGCTGCGGTGCTGGAAGGGGATGGGCGCTGGGCCCTGGGGAGGGGGCAGGATGGACTGCCGCTGCCGAATCTTCTCCTGGTGTCCCCTGGAGGGCGGGGGGGTCCTGCTCAGCCCCGATGGGAACACACCTGCTGACCCTCCCTCCCTGCCCGGCTCCTCCCCTCTCCGCCCGCTGCGACCCTGCTCTCCCTCTGCCCTACTTCAGGGTCTGTGGCCGCATCTTCTTGCCCAGCCGGCAGTCGGCCAACGCGCTCTCGATGTCCTCGTGCACCAGCTCTGCCTGGGAAAGCGGGCATCAGGCAGCCAGGAGGGCGGGACACAACGCTGTGGAGCCCCGCCCTGCCCTGCCCGGTGCCGCCTCACCTCCACCTCGTCGCAGTGGAAGAAGTGGACGTCGGGCTTGCTCTGCTCCGAGTCCTGGCACACAAGCAGCAGCACGGAGGGGTAGCGCAGCTGGTTCAGCACCGTCTGGCTGCGCTGCACGGTGGGCAGCGGGAAGTTTTCCAGCTCCTCCTGTGGGGACATGTCGCGCCGACACGACTCACACCGGCAGGGAGTGACCGGAGCTGTGAGCACCCACGAGGCACCGGCAGGGAGTGGCTGGAACTGTGGACACGCCTGGAGCACAAGCCCCTCTGGTGCCGCTGGGAAACGGGCTCCCAAAGATGAGAATGAGGCCCTGACGTGCCCTGCAGCTGTGCAGCAAGGCTGACCCACGCTTCCAAACTTCCCTGGACTCAGTTCCATGCGGCCCTCTCTGCCCACCCTCGTCCCATCCTCTTCCAGGGAGCAGAACGATGGGGCATGGCCGGCCCTGCAGAGAGGCCTGGCCGCACATGTGGGCTGCAGCCAGTGGCTGCCGCCGCCTCTACCCACCGTGCTCCCTGTCCCCCCCGGCGCTGGGCCCCACCTGAGACTCGATGTCCAGCAGCCGCAGTGACTGGTCGTTCACCTGCAGGAGCATCTCCTGGGTCCAGATCTTCTCCTTGGAGCTCAGCTGCACCAGTTTCCGGATGGCGTCCTCCACAGACGTGATGGCTTCGCTCTTGTCCATGATGAATGTGGCCAGGTGCTGGGGGTGGGCGGGCGGTCACTGTTAGGCAGAGCCCTCCTTGTGCTGAAAGCCCAGTCCCCAGAGGCCACAGCCTGGGGGGCTGAGGGGCCACAGCCAACCCTGGGTAGGGTGGTAGGACGGGGGCCCGGCCCCGCCTTTGGTGGGGGGAGTCTCTATTCTGCCTTGGCAGGCATCTGTGGGGACCATGCTTGTGTCCTGACGATACCCTCAAAAGAATTCCAACTGCTGGCCGGCCCCGCGCCACCATCCTCACCTGCCCACCTCCTGGCACGGGCTCAGCACCCGCCCACTGCACTGGCTGCGCCAGCCTCCCCAGCTCTCTTCCTTCTCAGACGTCCGCTCTGTGGCCACCTGGCTACAATGCCAGCCGTCACCCCATCCCCAACCTGTCCTGTTTCCCTGAATCAGACCCAACGTCACGCTGCACACGGCGTGGTATGTGTCCGGCGTGCTCGCTACTCCCAGGCAGGGTTCCAGGTGCCACTTGCTAAGCTGTGTCCCCAGGTCCAGGGCAGAGCCTGGTGCACAGCGGACCCTCAACAAGTGCATACGGGATGCACCCGTCCCTGAGGATCTGCGGCCAGCCTGGCCCTTGCCCTGTGCCCTCCATCTCTCCTCTTTCCAGGCCTGGCTCAGGCCCCCTCCTCCAGCCAAGTTCGCGGAGTAAAACCCTCCTACGAAAGGCCGGCCATTCGGTGCACAATGCTGGCACAGCTGGATAAACACTAACGTGAACTATAGGACAGTCAAAGACAACCATAAAACACAAAACATAAAAGTTTGTGTGGCTGGGTGCGGTGGTTCACATCTGTCATCCCAGCACTGTGGGAGGCTGAGGCGGGTGGATCACCTGAGGTCAGGAGTTCGAGATCAGCCTAGCCAACATGGTGAAACCCTGTCTCTACTAAAAATACAAAAATTAGCTGGGCATTGTGGCAGGCGCCTATAATCCCAGCTACTCAGGAGGCTGAGGCGGGAGAATCACTTGAACCTGGGAGGCAGAGGTTACAGTGAGCCACGATCGCACCACCACACTCCAGGCTGGGCAACAGAGCAAGACTCTGTCTCAAAAAAAAAAAAAAAAAAAAAAAAAGCTCGGGCACGGTGGCTCACACCTGTCATCCCAGCACTTTGGGAGGCTGAGGCGGGTGGATCACAAGGTCAGGAGTTTGAGACCAGCCTGACCAACATGGTGAGACCCCGTCTCTACTAAAAATACAAAAATTAGCCCAGCATGGTGGCGGGCACCTGCAACCCCAGCTACTCAGGAGTCTGAGGTAAGAGAATCGCTTGAACCTGGGAGGTAGAGGTTGCAGTGAGCCGAGATCATGCCATTGCATTCCAGTCTGGATGACAGAGCGAGACTCTGTCTCAAAAAAAAGAATAAGTGGGCAGAAACATGCAAGGGACTATGAGGCCGCTCATCTCTCTGGGAGAGGCAGAGTAGAACCTGAAACACACAATATAACCAAACAAGCAAAACCAGGCTGCTGGGCCACAGAGCAAGTCCCAGTAAATCTCAAGTGACTGCAACGGTACAGAATATGTTTTCTAACCGTAACAGAATTAAGGTAGAAACCCGTAATAGAAAACCAGAAAATCCTTAAATGTTTAGAAATAAAGCAGCATATTTCTAAATAACCCATGCATCAAAGATGAAGTCACAAGAAAACTAGAAAGCACCCTTGTTGCGGGAAGTCAGGGATCCTGAGGCTTCCCCCGATACATTCCGAACTGAACATGCATATCACAATTTGTGGAATACAACTAAACCAGTGCTGCGAGGGGAGTGTGGAGCTTCCCATGAATATATTAGAAAAGAAGACCGACGTAAGATCGATAATCTGTCCGGGCACAGTGGCTCATGCCTGTAATCCCAGCACTTTGGGAAGCCAAGGAGGACGGATCACTTGAGTTCAGGAGTTTGAGACCAGCCTGGCCAACATGGCAAAAAACTGTCTGTACTGAAAATACAAAAATTAGCCAGGTGTGGTGCACGCCTGCAACCTCAGCTACTTGGGAGGCTGAGGCAGGAGAATCGCTTGAACCCAGGAGGCAGATGTTGCAGTGAGCTGAGATTGCACCGGTGCACTTCAGCCTGGGTGACAGAGCGAGACTACATCTCAGAAAACAAACAAACAAACAAAAAAGATAAATAATCTCTAAGGTTTCACCTTAAGCAAGTAGAAAAAGTGAATCAACGCCGGGCATGGTGGCTTACGCCTGGAATCCCAGCTCTTTGGGGGGCCAAAGTGGGCGGATCACGAGGTCGGGAGATCGAGACCATCCTGACTAACACGGTGAAACCCCGTCTCTACTAAAAATAAATTAAAAAAAAAATTAGCCAGGCGTGGTGACGGGCGCCTTAAGTCCCAGCTACTCGGGAGGCTGAGGCAGAAGAATGCCGTGAACCCGGGAGGCAGAGCTTGCAGTGAGCCAAGATCGTGCCACTGCACTCCAGCCTGGGCAACAGAGCAAGACTCTGTCTCAAAAAAAAAAAAAAAAAAAAAAAAGTGAATCAAATAAAACCCACAGTAAGTGGAAGGTAGAAAATTAAGAGGAGGTCAGCACACTTGTATACAGACATCAGCATCAATAGAGACAAATCAACAGAGCCCAAAGTTAGTTACGAGAAGGTTAATAAAATTGGTAAATCCCTAGCAAGCCTGATCAAGAAAAATACTAGAGAAAACACAAATTCTCAAAAACCAGAACAAAAGAGGGGGCATCACTACAGATGTTTCAGGCAGGAGAAGGAATTAATAACCAAAACCTTCCTACAAAGAAAATCCTGCACTCTGAGGGTGGCACTGGCAAATCCTAACAAATATCTAAGGAAGAAACAATAACAAGCTTTCACAAACTTTTTTTTTTTTTTTTTGAGACGGAGTCTCACTCTGTCGCCCAGGCTGGACTACAGTGGCACGATCTCGGCTCTCTACAAGCTCCACCTCCTGGGTTCACACCATTCTCCTGCCTCAGCCTCCCGAGTAACTGGGAATACAGGCGGCCGCCACCACGCCGAGCTAATTTTTTGTATTTTTAGTAGAGACGGGGTTTCACTGTGTTGGCCAGGATGGTCTTGATCTCCTGACCTTGTGATCTGCCCACCTCAGCCTCCCAAAGTGCTGGGATGACAGGCGTGAGCCACCGTGCCTGGCCCACAAACTCTGAAAACAGAAGAGGAGGGAATACTTGCCTGCCCATTTTATAAAACCAACATAACCCTACCACACAACCTGCCATCGACATTATAAGAAAATTACAGACCAGGACCTCTAACGGACATCAACACAAAACATTCCTAACTACACTATTACTACATCAGTACCTCAACAGGGGAAAAAGGATCACACATTTGGAATAAATGACGACTAGGCTGGTTCAACATTCAAAACAATCAGTGTGGTCTAGTACATTGAGACTCCGTCTCAAAAAAAAATAATAAGATAAAGTAAAATGGATCCTGGCCCTAAACGCAAAAGCCTACACTGTGAAGCATTGAAAAGAAAACACAGGAACTGGCCGGGCGCGGCGGCTCACGCCTGTAATCCCAGCACTTTGGGAGGCCGAGGCAGGTGGATCATCTGAGATCAGGAGATCCAAAACATCCTGGCTAACACAGTGAAACCCCGTCTCTACTAAAAATACAAAAAATGAGCCGGGCGTGGTGGTGGGCGCCTGTAATCCCAGATACTCAGGAGGCTGAGGCAGGAGAACTGCTTGAACCCAGGAGGTGGAGGTTGCAGTGAACCGAGATCGCACCACTGCACTCCAGCCTGTCTAGCCTGGGCAACACAGCAAAACTCTATCTCAAAAAAAAAAAAGAAAACACAGGAACTTCCACAATTAATTCCTAATTTACAAAAAATAAAAGAAAACGCGGAAGAAATCTGCAGAAATTTGGTCAAGGGATGACTTCTTCTAGTCACAGGATACCAAAAACCCCAAACCATAAAAGAAAAACACATACAAATGGACATCATCAAAATTGATTTCCACTTATCAAACCACAGTGATGGAGGCCGGACTCAGTGACTCAGGACGCAGTGACTCAGTTCACCAGCGCTTTGGGAGGCAGGTGGATCACCTGAGGTCAGGTGTTGGGAACCAGCCTGGCCAACATGGTGAAAACAGGTGGATCACCTGAGGTCAGGCGTTGGAGACCAGCCTGGCCAACATGGTGAAACCCTATCTCTACCAAAAACACAAAAATTAGGCCGGGTGCGGTGGCTCACGCCTGTAATCCCACCACTTTGGGAGGCTGAGATGGGTGGATCACTTGAGGTCAGGAGTTCGAGACCAGCCTGGCCAACATGGTGAAACCCCGTCTCTACTAAAGATACAAAAAATTAGCTGGGCATGGTGGCCCGCGCCTGTAATCCCAGGTACTGGGGAGGCTGAGGCAGGAGAATCGCTTGAACCCTTGAGGCGGAGGTTGCAGTGAACCGAGATCGCACCACTGCACTCCGGCCTAGGCGACAGGGCGAGACTCCACCTCGAAAAAAAAAAAAAATTTAGCCAGGCGTGGTGATGCGTGCCTGTAGTCCCAGCTACTCAGGAAGCTGCGGCAGTAGAATGGTTTGAACCCCGGAGGCAGAGGTTGCAGTGAGCCCAGATTGCGCCATTGCACTCCAGCCTGGGGGACAGAGTGAGACTCCATCTTCAAAAAAAAAGGACAGTGATGCATATGCATTGACAAGCCACAGACTGGGAGAAGAGCTGGCCGGTCCACACACCCAAGTCTCTCTATAGAGAACCCCCAGCCACCCGTAAGGACATGTCGTGTCCACTAGGGGCCCTGGGAAGATATGGCCACTAGGGAAGAAATGGCCACTAGGGGCCCTGGGGAAGATGCCGCGTAGCCCAGTCGGAGCCTTCCTCTACACTGTTTTCCTTGTCTTTTTATTTATTTATTTGAGACGGGGTCTTGCTCTGTCGCCCAGGCTGGAGTGTAGTGGTATGATCACAGCTCACTGCAGCCTCCCCTCCCAGGCTTAATCAATCCTCCTGCCTCAGCCTCCCGAGGGGTTGGGATGACAGACCTGTGCCCACCAGGCTAATGTTTAATTTTTTTTTTGTAGAGACTGGGTCTCGATGCCCACGATGGTCTTGAATTCCAAGCCTCAAGTGATCGCTCGTTCCGCCTCTGCATCCCAAAGTGCTGAGATTACAGGCAGAAGCTGCTGTGCCTGGCCCCAGGGTTTTCTTAAAATAAGTTTAGGAACCAGAACACAGACGGCTATAAACTATATGACTTCATTTATAGGATATTCTCAAAAAGACAAAACTGTGGTGATGAGGCCGGGTGCTGTGCTCACACCTGTAATCCCAGCACTTTGGGAGGCGGAGGCGGGTGGATCACCAGGTCAGGAGTTCAAAACCAGCCTGACCAACATGGTGAAACCCCGTCTCCACTAAAATACGAGAATTAGCCGGGCACGGTGGCTCGTGCCTGTCCTCCCAGCTACTCAGGAGGGTGAAGCAGGAGAATTGCTTGAACAATTCGGAGGTTTCAGTGAGCCGAGATCGCACTGCTGCCCTCCAGCCTGGGTGAGTGAGACTCCGTCTCAAACAAACACACAAACAAACAAAAACTGTGGTGATGAAGGGCCGGCAATGTTGCCAGAGGTTGGGGGTGGCCACCAGTGTTGGGGATTCACAGGTTTGCAGTGACGGGGCTGATGGATCTGACTGTGGTGGTAACAGAACCACACCCCTCCATACACATGGCTTTTACTGTGTGATAATTTAGAAAAAAGCAAACCACGGACCCAGGCTCAGGTGGCCCCCACCTGGCTGGAGAGATTTCCCACCAGACTCTCACCCTCTCTCTGGGCCCCAGTGTCCTCATCAGGGAGGGGCAGGAAAACCCCACCCACCATTTGCTCCTCACTCTGTTGGCCTCTGGGCAGATGGGAAAGGCTCCTGCTGGCTGGGGGCCGGTCCAGGCCAGCTGGGGCCAAAGTCCAGGAGCCAGGCTGAGAGGCTCCAGGATCCTCCTCAAGAGGGCAGAGTCCTGTAGGCTTGGAGCACAACCGGGAGCCCGGCCCATACCCAGGCTTGGACCACAACCGGGAGCCCGGCCCGTACCCAGGCACAGGGGCCTTTTCTTTTTCTGTTTTTTTTTATTTTTTTATTTTTTTATTTTTTTTTGAGACGGAGTCTTGCCCTGTCCCCCAGGCTGGAGTGCAGTTGCATGATCTTGGCTCACTGCAACCTCCACCTCCCGGGTTCTAGTTCCAGTGATTCTCCTGGCTCAGCCTCCCAAGTAGCTGGGACTACAGGCTCCCGCCACATCTGGCTAATTTTTGTGTTTTTAGTAGAGATGGGGGTTTCACCATGTTGGTCAGGCTGGTCTCGAACTCCTGACATCAGGTGATCCACCCGCCTCGGCCTCCGAAAGTGCTGGGATTACAGGTATGAGCCACCGCGCCCGGCCCCTTTTCTTTCTTTTTTTTTTTTTCTTTTTTGAGACGGAGTCTCGTTGTGTCACCCATGCTGGGGTGCAGTGGCATGATCTTGGCTCACTGCAACCTCCACTTCCCAGGTTCAAGCGATTCTCCTGCCTCAGCCTCCCGAGTAGCTGGGATTACAGGTGTGCACCATGATGCCTGGCTAATTTTGTATTTTCAGTAGAGATGGGGTTTTGCCATGTTGGCCAGGCTGGTCTCAAACTCTTAACCTCAGGTGATCCAGCCTCCCAAAGTGCTGGGATTACAGGCGTGAGCCACCGCGCCTGGCCTAAGACTTTGTTGCCCAGGCTGCTGGAGGGCTGCGGTGGGATCCTAGCTTGAACTCCTGGGCTCAAGCGATCCTCCTGCCTCAGCTTCCCAAGCAGCTGGACTACAAGCTCACGCTACCAGGCCTGGCTAGGAGGTGGGAGGATTGCTTGAGCCCAGGAGTTTGAGACCAGCCTGGGCAACATAGGGATCCTGTCTCCACAAAAAATAAAATAACTAGACAGACGTGGTGGTGCCCGCCTGTAGGCCCAGCTACTGGGAGGATGAGGCAAGGGGGTCACGAGCCCGGGAGGCGGAGGCTGTAGAGAGCCAAGATCGCGCCACTGCACTCCAGCCTGGGCACCTGGGTGACAGAGCTAGACTCTGTCTCAAAACAAATGAGAGAGAGAGAGAGAGAGAGAGAGAGGAAGACACACACACACACACACCAAAAAAAACCATGTTTCCTGAGTTCTCTGTGTCAATGAAACTGACCTAGGAAAACAGAAAAGCCCTCAGGGCGGGCTGCTGGTCCTGCGGGTGCAGGCGGCCCAGTCTGGGCCCTGAGAAGCAGCCTGGGTCTCCCTGCAGCCTCCATCAAGGGCGTCTTTGTTCTGCCTGCTCCCTCCCGATCCAGTTCCTTGTTTTGGGGCCAGGATGATCATTTCCTCCACGGGCTCTTCCCATCCACGGCTGTGCGGCAGCCACAGTGTTTTCCCAGCACACCCTGGGCTGCCTCACCCCTCAGACGGCCAGTTCCCAGGACTGGAACCAGAGGGACGCTTTCCCCCACCCTGTAGCTGAGCCCGGCACAGTGTGGGCAGTTCTGGCTCTGGCCTCCCCCGGCCCCTGCAGGTGTCAGAACCTGGGCTGATCACTCTCCCTGGAGCTCTCTCTCTCTCTTTCTTTCTTTCGTTTGTTTTGAGACAGGGTCTAGCTCTGTCACCCAGGTGCCTGGGCTGGAGTGCGTGGTGCGATTCTTGGCTCACTACAGCCTCTGCCTCCTGGGCTCGTGACCTCCTTGCCTCAGCCTCCCCAGTAGCTGGGCCTACAGGCGGGCACCACCATGCCCATCTATTTTTTTTTCTGGAGACGGGAGCATGAGGACAGCCATGTCCTGGGGGTGCTCCCTGGGGGCGGGGCCTTACCTGGGGGCGGGGCCTTACCTGGACGTGGTACTGCGAGGTCTCGTGCATGATGACGTTGGAGTTGGAATACTTCTTCCTCTGCTCTGAACCGGGAGACACCAGTCACTCACCCCCACGGGCGGGACCCACAGCCCTCCGTCCAGTAGGGACTGGACCCACAAGGGAAGGTGGAGTCAAGCGGAGGGGGGGCTGCTCCGTGGACCTCTTGGCCACCAGGAAGGATGTGGGTGTGAAATCAGGACCTGCAGGAAGCCCCTTCCCTCCCTCCAGGGAAGCCCCCTTGGAGAAGGATGCAGCTCGAAGGCGACGAGCTTGCTTAGAGTGGGGACTGGGGAACCTGTGCTGGGGGGACAGGAGGGGGGTCGCAGCCATGCTTCTTCCCACTCTGAGAGCTGCCAGCTTCACCATCCCTGCCCTCCCAGGGCTTCTCGCTTTCCAGACTAGGCACCTTGTCCAAAGTCACAAGGGAAGGGGGCATCTAGCTAGGGAGAGGGTAGGATCGTGTCTGGGGAAGGGCAGAGTGGGGGAAAGTAGGGGCTGGCCAGGCCCCCCTCCCGGAGCAGACAGCTGGCGGCTCATCCTGCCTGAACCCCCCTGTGATCAGGTTGCAGCAAGGAGTGCAGCGGAATCAATATTGATGCTCCCTGAATTATTAGTAAAGGCCTCTCCCCTTACAGCTGTGGGGGAGGGGATCCAGCGGCCAGGAGCTTTCAGAAGGTTGATGAGGGTCCAGAGGCCTCCCTGGGCACCCAGGGATCCCCTGGGCCAGGCCAGGCACAGCTGTGGGGCAGGGGCGGCTGTCCCTGGCCTGGATGCAGCGCCCATTTCTCCCCTGTGACGTCCAGCATGTTCTCAAACCTCACTCACCAAACAGGTCCTTGGGGCTCATCCTGGCCACACTGTCAGACCGGCCCAGGCTGCCGCTGTAGGGGAGGGGCTGTGAGGGCAGGGCCGAACTGCACCCCTCCCTGGGGACTGCTCGGAGGGTGAGGGTGGGGTATTCGGGATGGGTGGGGGGGCTCACTTGGTGGCACCCGGGCAGCAGCTCACAGCCCCGGACTGGCTCATGGTGTCCCGGGCGGCAGCCAGCAGGAGAAGGGCAGACCTCAGTGTGGCCCGGGTCTGAGGCCAGTGCCTGTCTCAAACCTGGGTGGACAGAGGGGCTGCACTGACAGTTCCTCCCGGCCTGGCTGGCGTCTCCCCTCCTTCCCTGGGCCAGAGCCCTGACTGGCCTGGCCTGGGCAGGGGTCTCTTGGGGGGCAGAACCCCTGCCCCACATCCCAGTTGGTCCCATGTCCCAGTTGGCAGTCGTTCAGCCTCATCATGCCCCAGACCCTAGGCGCTCCACAGGGACCCCCAGAGGCTGCCTGGGAGGCTCTGATGAGGGTCCTGGGGGGAGAAGGTACTTTCCAAGCCGGGCAGCATTGAGTTTAAGGCCCTGGTGCTGGGGGGAGAGGGGATGGGGTGGGTAGGGGGAGGAGGACATGCTAGGGGTGTTGGGGGATGGGGTGGGGAGGGGGTGGGAGTGTGGTGGGGGGGTGGGGAGGGGATGGGAATGTGTGGTGGGGGTGGGAGGGTGGGAGTGTGGTGGGCGTGGGGAGGGTGGGGTGTGGGGGGTGGGGGAGGGCAGGTGTGTGATGGGGGGTGGGGAGGCGGGAGTGTGTGATGGGGGTGGGAGGGGTGCAGGGTGTGGTGGGGGGTGGGGGAGGGGTGGGGAGTGGCGATGGGGGTGGGGAGGGTGGGAGTGTGGTGGGGGGGTAGGGGAGGGGGTGGGAGTGTGTGATGGCGGTGGGAGGCGGGAGTGTGTGATGGGGAGAGGGTGGGGAGGGCGGGAGTGTGTGATGGGGGGTGGGGAGGGTGGGGGAGTGTAGTGGGGGTGGGGAGGGGTGGGAGTGTCTGGTGGGGGGTGGGGAGGGGATGGGAATGTTGTGTGGTGGGGGTGGGGAGGGTGGGAGTGTGGTGGGGGTGGGGAGGGGGTGGGGTGTGGGGGGTGGGAGGGCAGGAGTGTGTGATGAGGGGTGGGGAGGGGGCGGGAGTGTGTGATGAGGGTGGGGAGAGGGGGTGAGTGTGGTGGGGGGTGGGAGGGGTGGGAGTGTGCTTGATGGGGGTGGGGAGGGAGTGAGAGTGTGGTGGGGGTGGGGAGGGTGGGAGTGTGTGATGGGAAGTGGGGAGGGGGCGGGAGTGTGTGATGGGGGTGGGGAGGGTGGGAGTGTGGTGGGGGGTGGGGAGGGTGGGAGTGTGGTGGGGGTGTGGTGGGGGTTGGGGGAGGGTGGGTGGTAGCTGCAGGATGCTTGGGAGAGGTGAGGCTGGAGCTGAAATTTGGGACCCTGAAGCCCAGAGAGGCCGGCTGTAGCTGCCACTCCTGCCCCCACCCCAGGTACCACCCCAAGGGCTCCTGCACATGCATATGTGGACTTGCACCACCCACGCACTGGGGGTGGACCCTGAAGCCCAGAGGGAGCCCGGCTGTAGCTGCCACTCCTGCCCCACCCCAGGCCTGCACCCCAAGGGGCTCCTGCACATGCATATGTGGACTTGCCACCCACGCACGCCACCTCTGTCCAGGCCCCAGCAAAGAGGCCACAGCTCTTGGTTCTTTCCTGGGCCTGGGAGGCCTGGCCGGGAACAGTCTGTGCAGGCAGGAAACCCTGGGGTCCCTGGGGTGTGGCGTTTCCTCACCCCGAGGGCAGGGATGTGGCCAGGCGGCCAGCACAGGACCCTTGGCAGCCGAGCCCAGGGGAGGGACTGGAGGGCGGGTGTGGGGGGGCTGAGACTGGGAGCCAGTCCAGTGGCCCCAACACACAGTATCACTGCGCCTGCAACGAGGTAGGGTGGCTATGGGGCAGGCAGCTGGCGCCTCTGGCCTCCCCAGGGGCAGAATCCCCAGAGCCTGTCTCTGGGCTCCCAGCGCTGCCCTGTTCCCCGATGCATTTTGGGGAAACTAAGGCCCAGCTGCCAGGGCAGGCAGATGGGTCTGATTTGGGCTGGACCCTGGGGCCTTCCCAGGGGGATGGGCAGAGCCTGATGGCCTTGAACCAGGCTGACTTGCCCCAAGGGGACTATGCCCTGTGGGAACCTGACTGTTCTGTGGCTCTGTGACCAGCTCCCCACAGGTCCACACCATCCGCCTCCTGCCAGGGCCACAGGGCCGTCCCCTGTGGCTTCAGAGTTTGGGTCTGCCAGGGTGGGGTCACCGGCCAGCGTTGCTGGTATGGAGGGTCAACGGAGTGGCCCGCAGCACCCAGGACTTTCTGGTTTGACCAGGTCTGGCCTAGAGGGAGGGTCTGGGGGGCCCAGGGGCACTGCCTCTGCCATGAGGGGCTGGGTGCACCAAGGGGGCGTGGCCACTTCCTCTGTCTCTATTTCCGTGGAGAATGTCTGGAATGTTCACGGGCTCAGTGGCAAGCCTGAGTGTTTGCTTAATGGGATTCCTGGCGGGGTTCACCAAGGGCGCCAGGCACGTGTGTCCAGGCACACACCTGGGCAAGACACCAACGCGCCCTCGCGCCCAGGCCTGCAGGCACGCAAACACGGAGGGCTGTGACACACGACCCCCCGGGGAAGGCCGGGTTCCCGTCCTTCGGTGGCCTGCAGGGTATGGGGGACCTCAGGCCCAGGCAGGGCCGGGCTGCAGTGGGGTGGGTCCAGGTGTGGTGTCTGGGTCTGAAGCACCTGAGTATGGGGCTGCCTCCTGACGCCCTGACCCGTGGGAGCCCCGCCCCCCTGGGGAGGCTTCTTTGGCCCACTGGGGGTGGGGTCCAAGCCCTGGAGGCCCAGGCTGCACTTTGTACTGTGGTCATTCTCCCGGTGAGAAGTGAGGCAGAGCGGGGTGCCTTGTCAGTCGGGCTGTGGAGGGGAGGAGGTCCCAGCAGGGCAAGAGGGTAGAGAGACAGGCTCCAAGTTCAAATTCCAGCTCCACATGTTGAGTGACCTTGGGTAGGGGTCAGCTGAGTCATGGGGGCTCCAGGCTGCCCTCATGGGAGCTGGGTGGGGCCCTGGAATGGGGGTGCCCCTCAGGCCCTGGCCGTGTCCTGGTTTGGAAGCTGTGTCTTGAAGGAGAAAGGGATAAGCTGGGGAAGCTGAGGGTAGGGAAGGAGACCCAAGCAGGCAGAGAAGTCCCCGTTGGAGCGCCGTGCCAACAAGGCCTAGGTGCTAAGCAGGCCCAGGAGAGGCTGGGACCGAGGAGGGGCAGCAAGGGGAGGAGGGGCCGCGAGAGGAGGGGCCGTCGCCAGCTGGGCCTGCCTCCCTGGGACTGGGCATGGGGTGGGTGGGGGCAGAGGTCCAGGCATGCCCGGCCCTGCCTCCCCCTCCCCTGCCACCAGGGACATCCCACAGCAAGGGGCAACACCAGGCAGCTGGACCCAGGGACCAGGAATCTAGGATGGCTGAAGTTCGCCTGCCCACAGGCTCCTGCCAGCCCACCCTACTGCCTCACCTGGCAGGGCCTCTGCAGCCCCCGTCCCAGCCTCTCCTCCCCCCTGAAACTCCCACCCCCGACCCTGACCTGGAGACTGACCCAGCTGGTGCTTCCCGGGCCACTGGCTTCCTTCTGGGCTCCGACACCCAGGAAGTGCCTCTTGGCTCCGGCCCACAGGGAGTGGGCGTGCGGTGCTCACCTCGGGAAGGTCCTGCAGCCCACAGAAGCGGGAGAAGCCTCCGTACCACCTGCGCTCTCCGGACGCAGGGATTGCCCCCACCAAGCCCCAGAGCTGGGAAGAGGCAGGACGGGGCGGGTGAGTCACCCATCGCTGGCTTAAAAATATCCTTGCTCGCTAGCCGCCGCCCAGGACCGACGTGGGCAGGCCGGGCTGCAGCAGGACCCGTCCAGGAGAGGCGGGGGCCCGGCCAGGACCCCAGCCCCCTGCCCCGCGCCCCGGGCCCAGCCGCCCTCCAAGTGCTCCGCGCCCTGCGACGCCGCGCCGGGCCTGGTGTCCGGAACCAGAAGCCCCGCGTCCCATCGCCACCGGGGAAACTAAGGCCCGGGCGGGCGCGCTCCCCCGCGGCCGCAGCGCTCACCTGTTCCCGGCGTCCCGCGCTCGGCCTGTCCCCTCGGCGCTCACCCGTGCGTCCGTCTGTTCGCGCCTCGGCCGCGGCGCCCGGTCTCCCGCGGGCGGCTGGGACGCTCGGCGGGGCCGGGCCGGGGCGGGGCTGGGAGAGGAGAAACCTGAGCGACAGGTTGCGGAGTCACCAGAGAGCGAGCGGGCGGGCGCGCGGGGGAGGAGGGCGTGGGATGGAGGCGCCCCCGCCGGTCTCGGACCCAGCTCCGCCCTGCCCCCGCCCCCGCCCCCGCCTGGGCTCTAGCCCCAGCCCTCTCCGCCCTCCCCAACACCCACCTGGGGGGCCCCTCTGCGGGCCTCTGGAGCTGGGGCGCTGGGGACAGGCCTCCGCGGGATGAGCAGGGCGAGGCCTCGAGCTCTTCCTTGGACAGGGCCTAGCTGCGCCCCAGCAGGCCGCGGGGGACGGGGGGACGCTGCCAGTGGGACTTCGGGGGCAGCGCTGGCGTGATGCTGGGAGGGCTCCAGCCCTAGGGCGGTCAGAGCCTCGGCTGAGCCAAGTGCGCCAGGCGTGGGGCAGAGTCGCTTCCCTTAGCGGGTCACCCCAGGTCTGGGGAAGCTGGGGTAGAGGCTTCGGTGAGTGGGTGGGTGTCAGGCAGGACCCAACCATGCCACAGACCCAGACTTGGGGCCCTGAGCTCCCGGAGTGGGACGGAGCCTCTCTTCCTCACAGTGCAGGGGCTCCTCCAAGGCCCCTTTTCTGCCCAGCCTGGGCACTGAGAGATGGCGTGTTGGGGGCGGTGGGGACACCTGAGGCCCTCTCAGGATGCCTCTCCTTGCACTGCCCCATGGCCAGGCCCAGGCCCAGGCGCCACCCTCTGCCCACCACAGGGGGACTGTCTGGTTCTGTCCTCATCTACCTGGCTCCCAGGATGGCCCTTCTGCCCAGCTGCTCTGACCGCTCAGAACAGGCCAGGGTGCAGCGGACACAGCGGGTAGCACCGGCTGCCACAGCAGTAAACTGGACAAGGAGGAGGTGAAGGGGCACAGGGCACCCCAGGCCCATGCAGGGACCCAAGGCTCCGGCTGCCGTCCTGAGTAGGGGTGGGAATGAGGGAGTGGGAATGAGTGTGGCCAAGAGTCTGGGTCCCTGGGCCCTGGTCCCAGAGGGGCAGGGCTAGCGTGTTTACCCTGGTCTGGCCAGAGCACTTCCTGGGGAGGTGCCACAGGTGAGCTCGGCGGGGGGGTGGCAGGAAGTGGCCCTCCTCCTTCGGGCCCAGTGCCTGCCCCTGAGCCCAGGCAAGGCCTGGCTTCCTGGTTTACGGCCTTTGCAGTTTGATCCTGCAGTTTGCATGCCATGATCCTGCTCCATGCATGAGCTTGCCCTGACCCAGAGCTCAGGGGTCACACATGCCAACCCCACGGTGCACCCTTGCCCTCACCCTTCCTAGAGGCAGAGCTGGGAGTGGCCAAGTGGGAAACAGGCGCTGGAGGGCACAGCCGAGGCGGGGGCGTCCCTCTCCACTCCTGAATGGGTGCCTGTAAACACGATTGTGAGTGCAGAGCCTGCCCTCAGGAGACGGTACAGGCTGGTCTCTCAGGCCCCATCCACTCCGGGCCACCTGGAGCCATGGCGTTCCCTGTGGAGCAGGTGACCACTGCCTGTGTGCCCACTGAGACTGGAGGTGTCAGGATCCATTAACCATGAAGGCAACAGGTCTCCAGCCTTGGGGAGGAGGCCCTTCCCTGGTCTGCATGGTTCATGGGCTGAGTCCTTCAGATGGCAGACATGCCCAGCCGGTCCTCTGCCAGTGCAGGCGCTGGTGAGGGAGGGGGCCCAAGGCGCTCAGGCGCTGGCACGTGTGGTTCTGCTGCAAGGGCGCAGGGGTGGGAAGCAGGTCCTGAGGGCTGTCCTGCAGGTCCTCACTGTGGCCTCTGGGACGACAGGCAGGTCAAAGCAAGTCCGCCCAGGACAACCGGGTGCTCCTATCGCTTCCACGAAGACAGGAAGGAAAGTCTGTCTGGGTGCCACAGCCATAGCCACCCCAGCTGAGGGAGCCCCAGTGGAGGCCCAGGACAGTCCCGCAGCCTCCTGCCCTCAGGAGTCCACCGAACGGAAGGCGCCCAGCAGCCAGGGCCCAAGGGCGAGGCCAGCCAGGAATTGACCAGCTGGCAAGCAGGGTGTGCTCTCTTGAAGGGTGGGAGAACCGGCAATGGGGTAGGGGAAGTCGCCATAATTAGGATAATTCAAGGAGGCATACATATCTCTTTTATTTACAAAATGCGGTGAAGAGAAAATATCTACGTATTAGGATGTGATTATTCCAAACATAGAAAACACACAATAGAACCAAATGAACGGAAAGCTACTATAACAGCTTAGATACTTTTAAAGGAGAACTTATAGTAAATCTGGGAATGGGAAAAAAAATCACAGAGCTAGAATTTGTTTAGCACTCAGTGCAAAAGGCAAAAGTTGCTAAAACTGGAGTGGACGGAGGCTCAGAATGTGGGCCCTGCAGCTGCTCGCTCTCCTGCAGTCCCATCCCCGGCCTCAGCCCTGACCTCTCCTCCGAAGCCCCTAAAGGGAGGAGTGTGGCTGAGATGGAAATTCTCAAGCACCAGAGCTGTTAGCTTGTTTGCATTTATTGCTTTAGGAACCCAGAGTGCACTCTTGCCCCTGGGGCCTGCCTGCGTGTGAGGCAGAGCTGGGGGCACTCAAAGCACAAGGCCTTCCCCATCCTGCTTCTCCAGCCGGACTCGGAAACACAGGGGGCCTGGCCACAGAGTAAACTGAGCTCTCAGAGCACAAATTAGGACCATCAGGGAACTAGGGGGTGATGGGGGAGGCGGTGAGATGAGGCCTCTGTTCTGAAGGGCTCTGTCCTCCCTCTCAGCCCTGGGGGCCCTTGGGGGTCCATGGAGGCCTGGCTGCGGAAGCCAGACCCCACTGACAGGGCTGAGTGTGCACTCCTGGGACTCACCTTGAAGGCAGTTCTGTGTGGTCCCTACTCTCCCTGCAGCTGTTCCCAACACCAGGGCCTCCAGCAGTTTGTTCTGCTCTGGCTCCTGCTCCCACCCCTGCCAGGACAGATGGAGCCGTCCGAAACCATCTATGGCCAGTCACCAGGAAAAGTGCCCTTCCTGTCCAGGAATGGGGAGGTGCAGCTGGGGGACTGGTCGGGCCCAGGAGGAGGGCCCCAGTGTGGGGTGTTCTGGGTGCCCGCAGCTACCTGGTGAAGGCTGCAATGGCAACCACCTGCAGGACGGCCTCCAGGCCGTGAAGGGCCAGGAGTGTGGCACTGAGGGCCCAGTCGGCCCACAACACCAGGGTCTGCCAAAGCAGGAAGTAGGCAGAGAGGAGGGCGGTGCCGGCCGTGAGGGCCAGGCTGGCGGCCAGTGGCCTCTCAGCCTCTGTCAGGTTGCCCCTGGTACCTGGAGAACAGAGCAAAAGGGGGAGTGAAGGTGATGCAGGGTGATCCCCAGAGGCCACTGCCCACAGGTACCTGGCAGGCTGCTGGGACCAGAGCAGATCCTTGCCCTACGTTCCTCCGGGGCCCGGGGAATTCCAGGGAAACAGCCCTCATGGCTACCCAGAACTCAGGAGAGCCAGAGAGCATGTGCAGCATGGGCGTGAGCCCCTCCTGGGGCAAGTGCCCCTGCAAAACCAGTGTGATCTGTCTCTGGGTCTTCTGGGTCGGCTGTGTGGGCGAGGGTGAATTTGGTTTCTAAAATGATTCAACTGCATCTGCCACCTTTTCCTAATTCCAAGTGGAACTGAAGGGATTTTTTTGAAAAATTCCCAAAATATTTTTCTCTGGTCCAAGGCCAGTTCTGGAAAATTTCATGAATACGTATTAAAAACAAAACTGCGTATTTAGCAAACAAATGGGTCAGTCACTAGCTGAGCCTAGGCGCCTGGAGACCCTGCAGTGTGCGGCACGCTTGGGGAGGGTCCCCGATGGCCTAGCAGCCCCCAGCAGGGCCAGACCACACCCTGTCCCCACCACCTTGGGGCAGGCCCAAGCCTCTGAAGATCCGGCCAAGAACCGGGCCTCTGTGCAGCAATGGCGCTCGCACCCTCCCAGCAGCGCCCGCTCTGGGGGGCAAGCTGTAGAGGCTCTGGGACCATCTGTAAGTGCAGACAAGACACTGACGGCCGGGCACCCCTCAGTGGAATGGGCAACTGAGAGAACTCGCCTCCATCCTCCTAGTGTGTCTGAGGCTTGATAACAAGAGGAACGGTGGGGGCCACCCTTCTCTGCGGCCTCGGTTCCTCACTGGACATCGAGCATCAGGAGTCTCCAAGATTCCAGCCTGGCAGGCGCAAAGCGCCCTGGAAGTGCCCACTGCGTTCCCCACGGCAGGGCAATGTTTCACAAACACATGTGTTTAGGTGCACGTGTTATGACCATGAGCACGCAGAGGGCTGGAAGCCTGCACCCCACTGGCCACAGAGGTGAGCTCTGGGGAGGGCAAATTTCCATGTTTACTTCTGTACCCCTTGAATCTTGTACAAGAATAGATCCTTGAACAAACTGTGTGGTTAAAAAAAGGGGAGTGAGGTCACGCACTTTGGAAGGTCAAGGTGGGCAGACTGCCTGAGCCCAGGAGTTCAAGACCAGCCAGGGCAACACAGTGAAACCTTGTCTCCAGCCGAGAGTGGTGGCTCACGCCTGTAATCCCAGCACTTTGGGAGGCCGAGGCGGGCAGACCACGAGGTCAGGAGATCGAGACTATCCTGGCTAACATGGTGAAACCCCGTCTCCACTAAACATACAAAAAATTAGCCGGGCGTGGTGGCGGGCGCCTGTAGTCCCAGCTACTCAGGAGGCTGAGACAGGAGACTGCTATGAACCTGGGAGGTGGAGCTTGCAGTGAGCCGAGTTTGCGTCACTGCACTCCAGCCTGGGCAACAGAGTGAGACTCCATCTCAAAAAAAAAAAAAAAAAAAAAAAAAAAAAAAAACCCTGTCTCCTTGTCTCTACAAAAAAAAATTAGCCAGGCCTGGTGGCAGGTGCCTATAGTCCCAGCTACTTGGGAAGAGGGGGAGGGCTGAGGCAGGGGGATTGCTTGAGCCCAGGAGGTCAAGGATGCAGTGAGCTGTGATTGCACCACTGCACTCCAGCCTGGGCAACTGAGTGAGACCT